TCCCCCCCCCCCCCCCCCATCCTGGGCAGGAGGCTAGAAACAGAAACTGCTTGGTTGGATTTGATGCGGGGATTGCCCTACGGAGCAACCAGAAAGTAGCAGAGCCTGCAGGTGGGCATGGATCTGGTGGGCAGGGGTAGGTAAGGCTCTCCACAGCCAGCCTGCATGGCAAGAATTTCTCACAGGATGGCAGGAAGTCAAGTGTTGACAGATGACTATCCACTCAGAGGGCAGCTTATATTCATTTTCAGAGATAACGGGATTCCAACATGTGGTTTTATACTGTGGCTTGCTGACCTCTCCCCTCTTAACAAAGCAGTGAGAGACTAGACCGTAAGAGTGGACTGTCAGTTATTACTTGGACAGGGAAACGGTAGCATCGTAAGCCTCTTTAAAGTCATCAGGTCCACACCCCCTACTTCAAGTTCTAGGGTGTGTAGGTGTCTGCAGCCCAATGCTTAGAAACCCCTCACAGAGGGGTTGGGAGTACGCTTGATAAACGCCCGTGTTTCCTGTCCTGATTAGACCCAAGATTTCCACTAGAACAACTCTTGCGGGAGCCCTGCTAGTGGAAACTAACTGCTGCTAGAACCAGTGCCTTGGATTCTAAACAAACGACCCTTCTCAGGAATGGCAAGCTCTTGTTGTTGTTATTTTTAGCTACCAGGCTATTTAAAAATATTCTGCATCTTTAGAAAAGCCAAGACAGTCTCAAGCCCCAGTACACTTATCTCTAGCCTAAGCTTGTCTGGCCCTGCTGTGACAGCAGAAGATTGATATATACAACTGATACAGACCGAGAGAGGACCATCAGAGGGGTTGTGCTTGGCGGCAGCATGTCAGGGGTCCTTCCTCACCCTAAAGGAACTGACTCAACTGGGCAAGCTTTTACCTGATAAGTGGGTGCTTACTTTGGAAAGTTTTAAAAATGAAATTAAGTATGTCCTTTAAAGATATCTGATCCTAAGGAGATACTTAATGGAGATAAGGTGGAATCAGGTTTAAATTTCATCCTGATTGATGGAATTTGTGATTTTAAGATGTTTGTACATTTTTATCCTAAAGCATTACTTGCCATTAGGTCCATGCTGATGCTCAGAGACAATTCACTGATTAGTATTTGTACAAAACCTAGCCCAGCAGAATATAGGATGTGATCTGAAATCCCCTAAACTAAAA